CGCCAGAGGTTCGGCCATTTTTAAAACGTGAATGCCACACAAAAGTTTGCGGACTCCCCAAATGCTTGCTTTAGCATTTCATAGGTTTCCGTAGCGGTTTTGGCGAGTCTTTGGCAAAATTTGATGCACACTCTTTGTTCATTAAAATCGCAGGAGGGTCGGTGTAATGCACTACCAAAACGCCCGTAACTAAGAAACAAATGCTAATTCGATGATGCCGGCTGGCACACTGATTCACTATGAATGTAGGCCGCACCCCCTAGCGTATGATTTCCCAAAAGCGTGGCTCAAATGCCATGATTTCCCGTCTTAATTCCTCAAGTAATACGCACCCCCCACTTAATATCATCACTGTCCTGACCTAACATAAACGCCTCTGTTCTCCGACTGCAGGTGTTGGGATGTTCTGCCCTCAAGTGTGGGACGGGATCATGTGTTGGCCCCCAACTTCATCGGGGAAGACCCACGAGCAGCGCTGTGCGGACTACATCGCTGGCTTCGATAACCAGGTAAAGCCAGTTTCTTGATTGGGAGATCCCTTGGTGGCCTGCGTCACAGCATATACAGGGTGTTTTAAAAAGTTTGGGTAATATTTATAACATGTGTTCAGGGGGTTAAAACGAAGAAAAATTTGTCGCGAATGCAGACCCTAAATTGGCTTCTGAATGAAGTTTAAGCCTCTGGTTAATATTTTGTGATATTTAGTTTATTTTCTGAGAATGATCAGATATCTCTCTTAGGAGCGTCTGTTAGACTCGTAATAGGAGAGTAATATCTGTGAGATGAGTCTGCTGAGGGGAAGAGAACTTTATAAATGTGAAGACGTAAATAATTTGTATTTTAACTAATATTAATAGTCTCATGCAGAATAAATGGCAGAGATTTAAAAGGCCTACAAACGTTTGAGATTTTAAGTTCTCACTGAGACGCTTATGAATGTAGTTCTCTCACGGATTGACCATCAGGAAGGCAGTAAGTCTCTCTGAAACGTCAGCATCTACCAAACTACACGAC